TTCTTAGTTAAACAATATGGATGGGACACTTGTAAAAAAACAAAACTAGGGAAGTGGAGTGAAAGTACAATAGGGAAGGCACTTACTTTGCATCCACACAACCTGGGTTTGATCTCTAGTATCTATATGATCCCTTGAGTACCACTAAGAGTAAGACCTGAACTCAGAGCCAGGAGTAAATCCTGAGCACAGAGCACTGTTGGGGTGACCCAAAAGCTAAAATTGAAAAAACACACACATAAACACAGTAATTGATCTTCCATATGATCCAGCAATTCCACTTTTTGATATCTATACCAAGAGCCCAATACCTCTATTCCAAAGAGACATTAGTACTTCATGTTCCGTTGTAGCACTCTTCACAATTGCTAAATTCTGGAAACAACCCAAGTGTCTAAGAACAGATGAATGGTTAAAGAAACTATGGCACACACACCAAATGAAATATTAATCAGCTACAAAAAAGATGAAATCTTATATAAATAAAGCAATTCACTACTTTGTGGATAAATCTGGAGAGTCTCATGCTGAGTGAAGTTAGTCAGAGGAGGACAGACAGAATGATCTCCCGCCTATCTGGGATATAAAGAAACATAATAAAGAAGCAACAAATGCCCAGAAGCTACAAAAACAAAGAATTGGTCTTTAGAAGGAAGAATATTCCTGTTAAAAGGATTGGGCAGAGGAGTGGGATGGGAATGTGAGTGGGGGGACATGTGAGCTATGATGGATAAAAGCTGACATCCTAAAGGAAGGCATAGTATCGGGATACATTATAAACTCTGCCATTATCCCCATTGCTAATCATGAGACCTAAATAAAAAGGTTTTGAAAAATAAATAGTAATTAGAGAGGGATTTTGTTTTCACTTCTGGTTTTGCCTCTGCCCTAATCCTTTAGAGATGCAGATTTTTAAATTTGAGCCCATTTTTGTCTGTTTTCTATGACTCAGTAAATTTTACTTTGTTATGCTCTTTACATCACTCAAAAGGAAGTATTACATATATATTATTCCTGGACAGATAATGTAATTTTGATAGTTCTTAGTGTTATTGGGATGGAGCGATAGCACAGCGGGTAGGGCGTTCGCCTTACAAGCGACCAACATGGCCAACTCGAGTTCCATTCCTCCGCCCCTCTCGGAGAGCCCGGCAAGCTACCGAGAGTATTCGATATGCCAGACACAGTAACAACAAAGTCTCCAATGGAGACGTTACTGGGCCCGCTCGAGCAAATCGACGATCAACGGGAGGGCCTTTACCTTTACCTTTACCTTAGTGTTATTACATAAAATAGTAATCTATTCTGTAGGCAATGCTTTTTAAACTTTATTCCTATATTTATGTTTGAGTGAAGATATATTTAATTCCTTGTGTTTATTTTATTTTTTGAGGGTTTGGATAGGTACCAATAAGAGAGAGGATCAAGATTAGTTATATTCAGATATTTGATTAGGCTTTGGATATTAAGATAAGTACATTTTTAACCAACTCATTCAAAAATAAACAGCCGACCATGATTCATTCATTTTTATTTTCATAAAATTCATCTATTGTTAGCAATAACTCTACATGCTCTACAGAATTAAATTTTCTCCTTAGAAACTATATTCCTTATAAATGTCTATATTAACTGATTTGTTTTAGCCACTAACATAATTTGTTAGTCTCTTTCTAATGGGGAAGTCTTTTTTCAATTTTATTTTTATAAATTTCTAACTAAAGCGGTAGGGCGTTCGCCTTACAAGCGGCCAACGTGGCCGACCCGAGTTCAATTCCTCCGCCCCTCTCGGAGAGCCCGGCAAGCTACCGAGAGTATTCAATATGCCAAACACAGTAACAACAAAGTCTCCAATGGAGACGTTACTGGGCCCGCTCGAGCAAAATCGACGATCAACGGGAGGGCCTTTACCTTTACCTTTAACTAAAGACAAACCTAAGACTAGTGAACCCTGATGATTTTCTTTGGCAGCTAGGCTAGGCATCAATCCCAGGGGTTCACATATGTGAGGAATGAACTTTTTCACAGAGCTACATCACCTTCCCCAAATTTATCTGAGGGTCGGAGGAGAGGGCTCAGTACGCAGGGCCTGGAGGTCACTCCCTACCATACTCAGCAGCAGTTTGGGCATCAAAGTTCCACGTTAGGGCCAAGTGACCTTGCTGCTTATTTAACCCAGCAACCCAGTAGGACTATTCCAGGCAGTGCTTGGGATTGTATTTCGGGCCTTTGAGCTATCTCATAAGCCTAATTAATTGCAATACTGAGCATGTACTGTGCCCCTGAGTTACATTTCCGCCCATTCTCATATTGCTTCAATGTAACTACAAATATACTGAATCAGTTTAGATAATTTCTGGGAGATTAGAATTGAATAAATCGTGCTTAATTTTAAAAAGTATCTGAATGATTTTGAAAATTAGCTGGCTTGTGCGCAGGACAGATAGTGCAGTGGGTTAAATACTTGCCTTACATGAGGCCACCTGGGATTGGTTCCTGTCACCACATTGATCCCCCAAGCACTGCAAAGACTAATACCTGAGCAGCACAGAGCCAGGACTAAATCCATCACACCATTAGTTGTGCCTCTACCAAAATAAAATAAAATAAAATAAAATAAAACTTTGCAGTAATTTTTTTGGTTTGGTTTTGATTTGGGACCACACCTGGTGTGCTCAGGGCTGACTCTAGTTTTAAGCCCCTGGATCACTCTGGCAGTGCTCAAGGGACTATATGTGGACTGGGATTGAACTAGGGTCAAAAAACTGGTTGTTCACCCAAAAGGAGAGAGAGAACTCAGGGGATTGCCCTGCCACAGAGACAGGGGGGATGGGGGGATGGGGGTGGGAGGGATATTATCCATGGTGGTGGAAAATGGGCACTGGTGGAGGGAGGGGTATCTGATCATTGTATAATTGAAACCAAAGCACAAAAAATTGTAAATCTACAACTTTAAAAAAAATAAAATAAAATAAAGGGAAAAAAAAACTGGTTGTTTGGCGAACTGAGATTTCCAGAAGCAAAAAGTGAATCTACTAATTATTTACCAGAAATGAGTTACTCTCCAAAGATTACAATAACTGAACATTTTTAAGGACAATAAATTGCAATTCTTCTTTCCTTGTTTTTTCATTTTTGAGGGAAAATGACTTGCATTTAGAGAAAATAGGATACAAATATACCATAAGAAAAGTAAATTACGGTGTAGAAATGAATTTAAATTGTGAAACAAGCTCTGTATCAGATTTAAGAAAGTTGAAACTAGCAACTTATGCTTCATATTTTATATTGCTCAGTCTTGCCTCGGCATTGAATCTTTTTTTTTAAGAAGCATCTTCTTTTTAAAGAAGCCTTTAGTCAGAGTGGTGCCTGTGTTGCAAAATCTTCTTTTTAGGGTTCAAGATGCTTTGCTACTGTGTCGTGTGCCCTCACGCAACCATCCTTTCTTCAATTATTTCTTCAGTTCATCGCCAAAAGGTGAATCCAATATTTGATAAAAATGATACACAGTCCCACATCTCTTCTCAACCACTCACTTGCGGGATCTCCCTATTGGAGTATTCTGTGACTTTCTGTGAAACAAAAGTAGGGATATAAAAATAGAGACCAAACTCCCATGGATCCCAAGACTTTAGAGTTCACACACATCAAAGAACACGACCTAAATATATGCCATGCCAAGCTTGGTCCCTGCCCTCATGATGCCGAGGAGGAAAGCCTGTCACAAAGAGTTGTGAGGGGTGGGAGATGAGGCCACTTGGGAGGTCCCACGATGCCCTTTCCATTGTAAGACTGGAATGCACACATCTCTTGAATTTGTTTGTGAATGTGCAGTCCCAGTTCTGCCCTGTATGACCAACCATTATCCCAGAAGCCACAGCAGTACTTGCTGCTGGATGAGAAGGGTCTATCTCCTGGTTGCAAGGAGCCCAGTAGCTTTAGGCTGTTTAGAGTTTGTGGCAAGTGATGAGACTTGGCAGTCGGGTGTGGGAACTCCTTAGGAGCAGCTTCCTGTAGCTCCTCTCTGGAGAGGAATTCCTTGATGCGGGTCCTGCAGAGTTCTAGAGAATTTAGGATTTGGCCAGTCTGCATCCCTGCACTCTTGTCTGTCTTTGCCCACTGCCCCACTACCCGACGCGGAAGAAAGTTTTACACCGAAGGAGTCCCTCTTTGACGTAGCAGCGTCTACTCTGCCATCTGGGCAGAAGTCCAGGAGAGAACAAGCAGGAGAGATGAGGAAATAGAGACCACCGCACCACTGTGATCCCTGTGATCAGGGTCCTCCCACCCCCCACCCCCCACCTCCAGGCGGGGCAGGTCAAAGGCCAACCCAGAACATTGGGACTAAACCCACAAATAATAGATCAAGCTTCTCCCTCCTCCACCAACCTCTTGCAAACCCAATGAGGTCACTGCAACGAGAGAGAATCGGATGAAGTGGGGGGGGGGGTGGATGGGGGGAGGAAGGGGACGACTACGAGGAGGGAGAAGAAACCCAGACGGGGAAAGAGGCCATCAGACAAGGTCGCCTTTTCTGGCGACACAGCAGCTGCCAGAGCGTGGTGCTGAATGTCAGCCGCCCTCTCAGCCCAGGGATCCAGAGACTCTCAGAAGCACTTGGTGCGACCACGCAAACAAAGGCGAGGGCTAGAGGGAAGCTCTGAGCTGCTCCGCTGGGGATCTCCGGAAAGCAAAGCTCACCTCCCCGGGCTGAGCAAGCCCCGCGGAGCAGAGCGGGTACGGGAGGCCGAGGAGCCAACGGGATTTCCCTGCAGAGACTTGGGACGCAGCAGAACTCTGGACAGCGCCCGGCGAGCCGGGGAGCAGCTGCCGGCACCGCCAGTTCTCAGACTCCCGCAAAACAAATAAAGCCCTGGAGGATGTCTTCTCCCCTCGGGGACTGCGACCCTCCAAGCCAGGAATATCCATCTAGGATCCGCAACTGAACGCGCAAGGGGGTGGAGCTGCTGCTTCCCCCCCCCCCCCCTTTTTCTTTTTTCTTTTTTTTTTTTTTTGCCTCCGGCCGGGTCTGGGAAGAGAGTCTGCGGTTCTACAAATCCCAGCCTTGGTGGATGTTGTTTCACTGGTGAAGAAAGAAAAGTTTTGGGGTCTGGTGGGGGCGGAAGGGGTAAGGAGGATAGTGGAGAAAAGAAGGTGGATGGTTGGTTTCCCTCTCTGATCTGGAAGGAATGATGACCGTGGAAGGATGTGCACCAGCGGCCAGATTATTGGGAGCCTCTTGGTGCTCTCTGTACTGGAGATAGGGCTGGGGGTGTCCAGCGTGGCCGTGGGGGCGGTCAGCTTCAGCCTGGCCCTCCGAGAGCACAAGCCGCAGCTGGGAGACTCGTCCCCGGTATGGAGCGGGGTGTGTGTACGTTGAGCCATTTCACTCTCTCTACCTCTTTATGGTGATGGTCCGTGTGCTTGCGTTAGTTCCTCGCTCCCCAGGGAGGAAAATCACTAATCTCTGACTTGCATGGAGGTTCATGTTGGCCGGCTCTGACTCTCCCGGTGTTCTTTTATTTATGTCTCATTGTTTCTCCTTTCCTTGGGTGAAGCCCTAATTTAATGGCTTTGTTTAAAGTTGGTGATTGGGGGTTGGGGAGGGGGGAAGCGTAGGTATTACTGGCTGCAAAGGGCAGCTCAGTGATGTTTGCGGGTCACAGTGGTCAAGGGCAAGACTCTGCTTTGGTTTCTGGTAGAAGGAAAATCAAAGTGAGAATGTTACATCATTTTCTTTTCCCGCGGACGTGCAAGGAGAGAGTTGGCGTTGATTTTTGAGTTAACAGTGTCCGAGGTACTCTATAGGCAACACTGATAAGACAAAAAAAAAAAAAGGTGGTGTGAATGTGAGAGGAGAAGAATGCTGGTGCCTTTTATCCTAGAAAATACTGCTGCTATTTCCCCCTTGTTGGTTTTTATGTACCGCACGTCTAAAAACTGTTTCCTGAGTAAAAAGTTAAACAACCAATGGTATAATAGGTTAACAAAATGATACTTGGAGAACAACTCAAAAGTAGAGTAAATGCTCAGAAGACAAGGCCATAGTTTTTTCAAACAAGTTTCTTGTTCATTTACTTTGGATAAAATAGAGGAAACCTTAAAGCCAATTCCCTTCACCAAGAATAAAATAAACCAGCACTATTCCAAAAGTGTGTTTAATTACAAAAACAGCTTTTTTTTCTCATATAGCTGCTATGTCCTTCCACATCTTTAGCTTGATTTGGCTTTTTGAGATTATTTAATAAGAAGGCATTCAGTCACTAGTCATCACTATAGTAATTAATAACCATCAATTAATGTTTTGGATTTTAGCACCAAGAAAAAAAGGTCATTAAGGGACTCAAGGAAATTAAATTTTCAAAAGCAACTCATTTTTTAAGAAAGTTTTAGCATCTTAAAACTTATATAAGTTTTATGAGAAATTGTTTTTACTTTTAAATTTTTTAAACTAGGTAAAGGTTTGAATTGCTGATGCTAAAAACATTATGCTCAACTCTAACATTAGATTGTTCTAAGAATTCTTGTTATGAATTCAGTGATAAATTACTTTAAGCTCCCAAAGGCTACCTGATTCTTATTACATGTATCATAATATATTAAAAGGTAAATTATAATCTCAAATCTCATAATTTAGCAACTAATGTGTAGTAGTAATTATTTTGAAAGTTGTAATATTATTAATTTTACTATTTTAAATAGAAATAATCAGCCTTTCAAACTTCTGTCAGACAATTGTCAAAATAAAATGTAATGTCAGTATTTAAAGCAGGGGATGGAAATGTGATCTTATCAAAATTAATCCTCTTTGAAGTAAAAAAAATGAAAGAATAAACTTAGATTATCTCTAATAATGCTATAGTATTGTTCCTCTTCAAAAATAAAGGTACAGTTACATTTGCTTGCTATTGTGTAAGAAAATATTCAAATGACTTTTTTCTTTCCAGAATAATATTATATGGAGAAGTCCATGTATGTGAATGCACAGAATTTTTAATCAGCTCAGTGAAAATCAAATTAAAAAGTCATATAAAGTCATTCCTATCTTTCACTTATTTTATGGAAGCATAGATTTAACCCAGGGCCTCGTACCTGTTAGGCATGTGCTCTGTTATTAAGCAACATCCCTGGACCCTTATTTCTATTTTAACTGCTTTTTTTTTAATACATTTTTTACCAGGCTAGCTTGAAGAGGCTTGGTTTCTGTTATCTCTTATTCAGTAAAATAAACCAATTCATGTGATTAACTGAATAAATTTGCAATTAGAATGCCTAGTTGGTCATTTTTATAAATTAAAGTTAAAAAATTAACTTTGTGAAGCAATAGATGCTCATTTGCATTATTTACTTATAATATTATAAGCTTGCTATATTAATTTATTTTTAAAATACTGACCTAAAATCATTTGCAATATGATGTATAAATTGTCTCTCAATTCTTACAATGATGAATTCACATAATCAAAATTTATAGAGGACTTACAATGAGCAATGCTTCACTACTTACCACAAAGTTTATTCCTAGTTGAGGAAGCAAGATGTATACATCACTAACTTATCAATTGTGAGAATTAGAATTGACATTAGAAAAACACAGGAACAAATAATTGGAAAAAATTTGAGATAAAAAACAAAATACCCAAGGGAGACCTATTATTTTCCTCTTGATCTTGAAAGTTCAATGGAATTTGAAATTAGCTATCATGGTGTTAGGTAATATATCACAATCATGAATTTTGGGGGCTACCTAAGTGCAAATACCAGATGTGTCATTTAACTTTAGATTGAGTAACTGAAGTTTCATCATACTTTACAAAATATGATTGATAGAAGGCACAAAATAAATAATATTCTTAATAAAGTACATGTCATCTGATAAATACTAAATAAATGCAAATAGCTTGTTTTAGATGAACAGGATGACAGTCAAGGGCATTAGGAAGGTTTTTGAGACAGTGTAGAGTAAGACAAAGAACTGGGGGGAAAATGGCTTATGCCTAGGAAGATTAGGCTCTTATATTTTTCTAATACCAAAGTATGTGGAGACAAGATAAGCAGGGTAAAGTAATTGAGGCCAGACAATGGGAAGGAGAATATGTGTGAGCATAAGGTAATATAGTTCCCTTCCTATTTTAACAATAATATTAATAATAACAGATAATAGAAATTCTTATTTCCTAAATAAACTCTAGGAAGACACAGAAGAAAATAAGATTTAAAAATTTTAGTCCTTTTGGTATTTTATAAATTGAAAATCTATATTATTTATGAAAACAAGGTGAGATTTTATAACTAACCTGTCAGGAAAACAATGGTTTTAAATCAGAGTGTGTTCTAATTAGTGCAATGAAGTTTCTTTCAATATCGTAGTACTATTAAAAGATTTTTTTTCTTTTTAAAATTTTTATTAGTGAAACACCATGATGTACAATTTTGGACTTACAAGTTTTTGTGTTTGGGTTTCAGTTATACAATGATTGAGTACCTATTCCTGCACCAGTGCCCATTCTCCACCACCAATGATTCCAGTAGCCCTCCCACCCCCCCATCCCCCCACCCCATCCTGCCTCTGTGGCAGGGCATTCCCTTTTGTTATCTCTCTCTTTTTGGTTGCTGAGGCTTGCAAAAGAGGCATTGAGTGGCAATCATGTTCGGTCCATAGTCTACTTTCAACATGCATCTCCCATCCTGGGAGGATCCTCCCAACACCCTTTACTTAGTGTTCCCTTCTCTATCTGAGCTGCCTTTTCCCCTAGCATGTGCGGCTGGCCTTGAAGTCATGGAGTGAACCTCCTGGCGCTTATCTCGACTATACTTGGATGTTAGTCTCCTATTTTGTTACTTTATATTGCCCAGATGACTACAATCTTTCTATGTCTGTCCCTCTCTTTCTGACTCATTTCACCTAGCATGATACTATTACAAGATTTTTGAATAAAATTTTTGAATAAAATTTTAGAAGTCAATTGAAAGAAAACTGTCTTATAAAAGGACAGTTTTCTTATACATGGAGCTCATAATCATAAAATGTATCAAGGTTAAGTGCACTAATTTTCAGGCAATTATTTTGATTATCTCTACCTCTAAATACAATTTTCTTAAAGGATAACTTAAAATAAATTAGTACAGCAATAACAAGGTTACAAATTAATGCATTTAATGCATCCATTAGTTTATTGCATATATAGATTTCCAGTCACTATTTCATAGTCAAGCAAGAATCACTTATTGAGATCAATCATTAATATATAGTCTTTTAGGGCTAGAGGGATGGTACATCGGGTAGGGTATTAGCCTTGTACTTATAGTCCTCAGAGTCACACCAAGAATGAATCTTGAATTCAGAGCCTGGATACTGCTAGATGTGACTCAACAACAAAACAAAACAAATAAAAGGTGTAATTTTATAAAAAAAAAAAAAAAAGGCAGTTATAGGTCCAGAGAGATAGTACAGCAGATAGGGCACTTTCATTGCATTTAGTTGATTCTGACTCAAACCCAGGTACGACGTATAGTACCCTAAACCCCTCCAGAGATCATTCCTGAGTGCAGAGCCAAGAGCAATAGCTGAACACTTCTCAGTGTGGCCCCCAAAGAGACAAATGAAAAAGAAAGAAAGCTAGTTAAAAATAACTTTAAAGAATTTGTGTTCCTTTTTGAGTCTTGATTTTTCAAATACCTGTTCGTCACCTGTGAGAATATAACAGACATTATTGTTAGACAACATTAAGTGAACTATCAAGTAAACTCCTTTACATAAGATTTAGGAGAAATATAATTGGCCAGAAATATTTATTGACAGACAGTTGAATAAAGAGGGCAATGTTTCTTAATTGTTGTCAAAGTCACATTGTCGGTCTCCAGTTTATCATCTATAGTAGAACTGAGTTGTTATTTAGAAGTGCACAGATTTCTGGATCCAAGAGAAATTGATATCATTGTTCTACACTGGCACTGAGAAATCAGGAGATTAAAATGGTGGTGTCAAGATTAAAATAGGATGTAGTGTTACAATGCAATATGCCATGCTAAAGCCTTTCTGTCTCTATCTGATAATCATTATATAAATTTAATTTATTAAAATAGCTTTTCTAAACCTTGTTTACCCCCTACTTAAAGATAATATTCCAAAACCATTGACAATACTTCCTTATTTAATGGGCTGGAGCAGTAATGTGGCAGGTAGGGTGCTTGCCTTGCACTCAGCAACCAGGGTTCAATTCTAAGCACCACATACAGCCTCCCTAAAGTCCCACCACAAGTGATCCTTAAGAATAGAGCAGGAATAAACACTGAACACTGCCAATGTGGCTCAAAAAATACGAAAAACAATTTTCCATTTAAATATGAGTTTTCAGTAAGTTCTATTTT